TTTTACAATATTATATTTATTTAAAATATAATTTAATATGAATATTTGTAATATCTTGATTGTATATCTAAAATATTGCACTTCAGTGTCTTCAAGATGAGGGACTGTTGAATGCAAATTTGTATGTTTAGCAAAAGTATGTTGCGACCCTTTTTTTCTTTGAGGCAATAGAGTAAACAATATTTAGTCCGTTTTTTTATAATAATAATATTTATATATTAATATTATTATATTATATAGGATATATTATATTATAGCCTTTTTTATGCATTTCAGTGACTTAAAGACAAGAAAATGTCACATGCTGCTTCTGTACTTTGTGGTTTTTGAGTAATAAATATTAGCCTTTTTTATAATTTTTCATTTAATTAATATATAGTATTATGTAATATTATGTGTATATATATATATATATATATATATATATATATATATATATATATATACACACTCACCGGCCACTTTATTAGGTACCCCATGCTAGTAACGGGTTGGACCCCCTTTTGCCTTCAGAACTGCCTCAATTCTTCGTGGCATAGATTCAACAAGGTGCTGGAAGCATTCCTCAGGGAGTTTGGTCCATATTGACATGATGGCATCACACAGTTGCCGCAGATTTGTCGGCTGCACATCCATGATGCGAATCTCCCGTTCCACCACATCCCAAAGATGCTCTATTGGGTTGAGATCTGGTGACTGTGGAGGCCATTTTAGTACAGTGAACTCATTGTCATGTTCAAGAAACCAATTTGAAATGATTAGAGCTTTGTGACATGGTGGAAGTAGCCATCAGAGGATGGGTACATGGTGGCCATAAAGGGATGGACATGGTCAGAAACAATGCTCAGGTAGGCCGTGGCATTTAAACGATGCCCAATTGGCACTAAGGGGCCTAAAGTGTGCCAGGAAAACATCCCCCACACCATTACACCACCACCACCAGCCTGCACAGTGGTAACAAGGCATAATGGTTCCATGTTCTCATTCTGTTTACGCCAAATTCTGACTCTAACATCTGAATGTCTCAACAGAAATCGAGACTCATCAGACCAGGCAACATTTTTCCAGTCTTCAACTGTTCAATTTTGGTGAGCTCTTGCAAATTGTAGCCTCTTTTTCCTATTTGTAGTGGAGATGAGTGGTACCCCGGTGGAGTCTTCTGCTGTTGTAGCCCATCCGCCTCAAGGTTGTGCGTGTTGTGGCTTCACAAATGCTTTGCTGCATACCTCGGTTGTAACGAGTGGTTATTTCAGTCACTGTTGCCCTTCTATCAGCTCGAACCAGTCTGGCCATTCTCCTCGGACCTCTGGCATCAACAAGGCATTTCCGCCCACAGAACTGCCGCTCACTGGATGTTTTTTCTTTTTCGGACCATTCTCTGTAAACCCTAGAGATGGTTGTGCGTGAAAATCCCAGTAGATTAGCAGTTTCTGAAATACTCAGACCAGCCCTTCTGGCACCAACAATCATGCCACGTTCAAAGTCAGTCAAATCAACTTTCTTCCCCATACTGATGCTCGGTTGGAACTGCAGGAGATTGTCTTGACCATGTCTACATGCCTAAATGCACTGAGTTGCCGCCATGTGATTGGCTGCTTAGAAATTAAGTGTTAACGAGCAGTTGGACAGGTGTACCTAATAAAGTGGCCGGTGAGTGTATATATATATATATATATATATATATATATATATATATATAATTATTTTTCCCTTTTTTTTATGCAAAAAGCTAACAGTTCTCCCCCTGCATATATAATGGGCCATTTTTTGCCTGCCAACTCCTCTTTTTTTTTTTTAAGAAATAAGTAAAAATTTAAATTGTCATTATTTACTCGCCCTCATGTGGAACACAAAATGACATTTTTGAAGAATTTGTAGCTCTTTTAGATACAACAACATAGTGACCACATCTGTTAAGCATTTGGAAAGGTTTTGAAACGACATGAGGGTGAGTACAGAATTTACATTTTGTGGTGAACTATCCCTTTAAGTTCCAGCATTTTCCGATCTGTAGATCCCTTCTCATGTTCTTCAGAATTCCTTCTGATAAGCTTAACATTTTGATCCTGGGTGTCTCCTGATTGGGATGCATCGTAGCCTTGAGGGTTTCAGGGGGAAAGGATCTGAAGCTCTTAAAGGCGTGTGGAAAAGGCTCAGGGAAATTACAGATTGTCCTGAGCTTCCACCGGCCTACCTTTTTAGGAACGTGATTTACCTGCCGTTCAACAAACAATAGGAGATTTAAAAGACCATTGTATGGTGGGAGATAAACATCAACCTGAGGAAAAAAAGATCACCTGAATCAAGGCTGCAGTTTCTGGTATGTTTGGCTTGTGGCGATTTACTGGCCGTACAGGACTGCATTTAATCGTGCACTTGACTACTCTTGACACTGTGTGTGTGTGTGTGTGTACCTTGTGCTGAGCTCCCTCATTAGCCTCTTTAGCACAAGCTTTTGGCGTAGCTCATTGCTTGTTAGAGATTAGTGCCCACGTGGGGCCAAGTTACCGTAATAAAACGCTTGATTCTAATGACTCTCCTCTAAGCCGTAACTCTACGCACAAACCGCCAAAAAGCTTGAGCCTCCCTGAAGGGTTTTTAGCAGCACGCTAACAGTTACACTTCTCGGACCATTTAAGGTGCATGGCCAAGCGTCTAACGCGATTTGTGTTCACACACTCTGTTTCGTCTGTCTGCAAACATGGGCTAGGATGTTTTCTCGCCTGTCTTAAGTCTGCAGATCTTCACTATGGAGGCAAGAAGCTGAAACGGGCATCACTGGCTAAAAGTGTTTGTGAGGACTTCATTTAAACTGATCTCAGATTGTAAAGGTTTAGTTTATTGTATTCAGCAATATACAGATGCTTTTTTTTTTTACAGTTTTAAAAGAAAAAAAGAGAGAATTGCATTGTTTCTTAGCAACAAGGTCAAATTTGATTTGAATCAATTGTGACTCAAGTCTACCTTGGCCTTTCTATTCCTTTTTTTTTTTTTTTTTTTTTTTTTTGGTCCTAACCAGCTACGACCACAACATGAGTTCTGTTACGACGGCTCTCGGAGTGTTTGGCATGGTAATGGATATGACAATGTTGATATATTTGGTCTTGGCGGAATAGATCTGCTACACTGCTGTTGCTGCACAACAATTATGGGACTTGCTATTCCTAAATACATAAACGAGACGCTGCTGTGAGTAAGTAAGACATGCTGCTGCTGTACAATATAGCATACATGAATTACCCGTAGCAGATCTATACAGGTGGAGCTGGGGAAGGGGGAGGGTTTCTGAAACCACTGCAAGCTACAGCAAATGCTGACCATTATTTGAAGGTTGAGCAGCGAGTTCATTGGCTACTGATACAGCAGGAACCAATCAGCTGTGCCCTATAGAGAATGATGTGATTGCAAGCAGTTTGAGCTAAGGACTTATTAGTCTGCGCCATCTAGAGTTTCATGACAGAGCTTTGTATTTATCAGTCTCGTCGTTTCTATGTTCAAGTTGTTTTTCTTTGAACTGGCTAGCCCTGCGACACAGTGGAATATTATTGGTCTAAAATCCCACTCCACATTTCATTATATTAATGCTGCTTTCACGTGTCACAAGTTCTCTAGTTAAATGTTGGACATGAACGCCCTCTCAAGTCGCAAGCTGACAATCTAGATGTGATGAATGTTTATATGGTTGTCAATGAATGGGATGATGAATATCATTTTGGCTTAAATAAGATTTCCCCAATAAATTGGCAAGAATAAACCTGGTGTCCTCCGTGATTCCTTCTCTTTCAGACAAAGCACTGTAACTCGACGAGCTCGTAAGCACGACTGCAGAAGTGGGAAGTAGGACATTTTCGATTAGTACGTGAAGGTAGCATAAACCATAAATATCTGTCAGAAATCTGTGATTTCGCCTCTTTATGTATGATTTCATACTCGCTGTGAGGACAGAAATTATTTGACCTTGTAAACTTGTCAGCACCTTGTCACACCAGGTTAGAACGCATTACATGTATCATGTGTATGTATATACATTACCGTTCAAAGGTTTGGGGTCAGTACGATTTATTTTTGAAGAAATTATACTTAAATTCAGCAAGGACACATTAAATTGATCAAAAGTGACAGATTTTTGTTACACAGGATTCCGGTAATGCTTTACAATAAGGTTTCATCATTAGTTAACAACTTTAGTTAACATTAATAAGGAATGAACAATACTTACAGCATTTATTAATCTTAATGTTAATTTCGACATTAAAATCAAATGTTGCATTTAGTATCTTTCGTTAATGCAGTGAACTAACATGAACAAACAATGAACAACTGGATTTTTATGAACTAACATTAACAAAGATGAATAAATACAGTAACAAATGTATAACTCATTGTTAGTTCATCTTAGTTAATACATTAACTAATGTAAACAAATGAGACCTTATTGTAGTGTTACCAACATTTCAAATAAACGCTGTTCTTTTGAACTTGAACAGGGAAAAAACTGAAAAAAATGTCTCACAGTTTCCACAAAAAAAAATATTAAGCAGCACAACAGTTTTCAACATTGATAATAATAATAAATGTTTCTTGAGCACTAAATCATCATATCAGAATGATTTCTGAAGGATCATGTGACACTGAAGACTGGAGTAATGATGCTGAACATTCAGCTTTACCATGACAGGAATAAATTACATTTTGAATATATTCAAATAAAAAACAGTTGTTTTCAAGTGTAAAATATTTCAAAATATTAATATTTTTACTCCTCTTATTTATTTTTAATCAAATAAATGCAGCTTTGTTGAGCGTAAGAACCTTTTCAGCTGCTTGAATATAGTAATTCAGTTTTTATTCGAGTAATTTCGTTTGTAGCTTTATCTTTTGCCCTCCACATTATTCTTTCAGTCTTCCTTACATCCTCTCTCTCTCTCTCTCTCTCTCTCTCTCTCTCTCTCTCTCTCTCTCTCTCTCTCTCTCTCTCTCTCTCTCTCTTTCTCTTTCAGAGACTGCACTTGCCTCCAGACCTGTCAGAGACGGTGAGTCGAGTGAGTAAAACAGAACTGGCAGCAGGATGTGGTACCACTGCCACGGGCAACAAGCACCTAGATTTCTAGCGGATTCCCATCCTTCCTGCACCCTCCCCCTCCAGTTCCCACCACCACCACCACCCCTGTGATGTTCAAGGGCAGGAGAGCGCTGGAGCTGCACTTCGACAACACTAGGTTACGGTCGCACCTGCACTGACACGGTTTCTGTGAATATTAGTGAAAGAGATTAAGATGGCTCAGCGTTTAGTAATTACACAACTTGGAGAAGAATGCAAGACGGTGATATTCAGTGTCACAAGAACCTGACAAGCACCTGTTGCTCTCTTTGGATAAAGCGAGAATGTGACGCAAATAACGATAACGTAATATGGCTACCAGTGTCTTTTCAGTGTACTTCATGGCTTCCTGGTGTTTATTAGTTTATGTAGCTAATAAATATTTGGTGTCAATAAAGTTTGTAAAAATGTTTAAAAATAAAATTCATGGTTTTATTCAGGTTCAAAACAAACGTGGTTGCAGGAAATGTTTTTATCACTCATTTTTTTACAAACAATTTTGTGTTTCACTTTTTTTCTTTTTTTCTTTTTGATTGAATTATTTAATTCGGAACGTTCCTTTCAGAAACTGCAGTGAACCAAAGACAGTCTCAAAAACGCGAAATCGCTGGTGTTTCTGACGTCACAAACTACCTTGTAACCAATCACCTCAACGAGTGATCGTCCACGAGTGGATCTCTGAGCTGGTGTGAGTGAGTGGAGGCGGGGCTAATTAGCATATTCATAGAACCGCGTATACTAAATAAGGCAAGGGTGTAGAGTTACATTCAAGCTATTTTAAGGCATGACATTTTTTTTAAATATGTAATTCTGGTTTTAATAAAATTGACAGGGGGACTTTAAATAATTCACGCCCAACAGCCAAGAAATATGAAAAAAAGGGGCAGGGCCTGGTTGAGTTCTGTTGGTAGTGTGTTGAAACTTGCGGTTATGGTAAGGGGCGTGACATTTCCAAAACACGCTTGAAACAGTTGGCCAATCACAACACACTGGTCCAGCCGACCAATCAGAGCATGTTGTGCTTTTCAGGCTTCATAGAGACAGGAACTAAACAGAGCGTTACTGACAGACTGGGAAGAGAGGTGCTGCAACAATGTAAAATATGTGAAAAATAAGATGTGTTTTGAAAAACCAAGCATGAAAACCTAATCTAGTACAGCCTAAAAACACAATCAAGACTTTGAAAAGGGTAATAATCAGTCCCCTTTAAAGCTGAACTGTTTCTTCTTTTCAAAGTGTCCATTAGGCCTTTTGTCGTTTAAATGGTACTATGAAGTATCTGTGTCTTATTGTTTTCACTCAGCCAACAGTTATTCACCAGTAAGTGAGGAATCTTAAATTCAGGGGTTGAGAGATGTTGGTGCAGATCTGCGAGGTTGTACTTCATTACGCATCAGGGCAGCTGCGTACAGTCTTGTGTTTTTATGAGAGCTCAACGGCGATGAAGTAGGTCAGAGGTTATCATATTCATATACAGGACTGGAGACGTACAGTAGTCTCTCTCTCTTTTGATTTAGTGATGTCATTTTGAACACTGTTTCCTGTGAGTTGCCACAAAACCCCCTTTTATTTTCTTTTTTTTCTGCCTTGTTTATAATAACGTACACAAAATTCTCCCCGAAAATCTATTTATTTTTTTATACATCATAGTAGGATTAAATCTTTTAGATTATATTAATTTAATCTGCCTTTCATTTAAAAAAAAACTTTTAATTACTGTTATGATTTTTTTTTTTTGTTCGGTAAAAATGCTGTTAAATAATGGGAATCACTATTGAGAATAATGCTACGTTTTTTTTGGAATTATTATCTCTGACCTCATTAGAGTAATGAAAATTTATGAGGAAAATGTGCATAAATTTTCACTCTAGTTAATTTTCCTATAAATAGGCTTCTTTTTTTCCTGAAGGAATTATCATTTCTTTTGGGGTGAAAGGTGACCTGGACATTTTCATAATTTTTTAACTCAAAGCATTTTTTAGACTCCACAATAAGATACTGCATTTATTTACAATTTAAATACAATAAGATCCTTTTGCATTTATAATATTCCACATAAATTTCATCTGACGTGACCCGCCTTGACTTTATGGGGAAATGTATTTGTAACATAAAAATGCATGCATGCACAAAATTTAAATTTCTGCTAATAAATAAAGCTGTCTGTGAAAGCATGTTTTCATCAGGCAAGGAAGTATGTTTTTATACATGCGTTAATGTTTCATAGCCTCATTTTCATTGTCTGTAAGTAGATGTAGCTGTCAGTGTTCACAGTTTTTATTGTAACCGTTTTTATTTTTGTGAATTACCTCAGTTTATTTTGAATTATTTGAATATGGTCACCTAGTTTTCACAATTTTTTTAATTTTAGCAGTGCACTTAAATAGTCACATGAATATTTTTAAAGAACAAACATAGTTTCTCAATTACTTTGAGCTCATAACTGCATGCACAATGTAATAAGACTGATACTCTTTTTGGTAGTGAAATATAACAGTTTTGTCCAAGTATAACTTGGCTTTAGTTGTGATTCAAGATTTCTCCATCCTTCTCTCTTTCCATTTCTGTCTTTGTAGGTGCGTTTGAGAGAGTCTAGAGCTGTCCTAAAGTCCCATAGGCCACTACCTGACCCAACTAACGTCAGGACCGACCTACCACCCCCAAAAACCCTTCCACGCGGACACTTTCTCTCCGTGTCTCTCCCCTCGGCTCTCCCGCTGAGACAGCAAGTGAAGCAAAATAACTCATTCTGCCACACAATCGCTTCATCTCTCCCTCCGCTCACCCTGAGCTCGCTCGGACCGCTTTATTCTTCTCGTTTCTTCCCCCTCTCTCCTCCCCCCACGCGCGCGCGCTTTTTTCCCCCTTCCTTTTAGACCATCGAAACTCTACCAAAACAAGAGCTGCCAGTGCTGAATGGCATAGGCCCTTTTCTATTGTGGTGTGTTTTTGTGATGTCTGAGTTGTGTGGAGTCGGCTGGTGCCTTTGTTCACGAGCTCTTTGGTGGTTATGAGGTATGTGGAGAGAAGAGAGGGGTTTTGACACGCTGGTGTGTCTTTAAATGGGTAGTTTGTGGTCATGTTTTCAATTCTAACTAATACTTTTGAAAACGATGTATCGCTTTCATTAGGAGTCCGCTCTATTAAAAGGAAATTCGGAAACCGATACTGTACAAAATGTTTTAATAGTTTTTCACAAAATACATTTAGAAAGCTTTTAAATAAAATTAAATTGAAATATCTGCAAGACAGGGGTAGACCTTTTCGCTTTCCAAAGCATTGCTCTGACACTAAACTCATTACAAGTGTTCATGTTTCAGGTACACAACAAAAACGCAGAATTCAAGAGATGTCAAGATGTTTTTCAAACCACAAGTGGTTGTCGATCATAAATAAAGGACTGCGTGATTAAGTCGCAGTCAGGTATACTTGAAGCCAGTGTACTAGAATGTGAAACGACGTTTTTTTTTTTTTTTTTTTTTTTACAAAATGTAGCAACACAAGACTAACAATAAAAAAAAAGAGAGAAGATTAAGATTGTTGTGTAATAGATGAAATACAAAGGCTTTGGTCTGTTTTTACAATCAACAATGGTTTAAGTCTGATATGTACTTGTAAACAACTGCCAAACACTTACGTTTTTAAAAAAAAAAATCTGTCAAGCATTTTTAATCATAATTATTGGAATTAAATATTTCTAGTCTCACAAAATTATTTGACCGTAGGACACTATAATACAACTATACCTAATAGACAACTTGTACCCGACCTAAAGAAATGTTTGCCTTTTTTTAACAATGCATGGAAATCTGTATAAAACAATTAGTTTTATTTTTCTCGGGGCAATACAAATAACAATATATTTATGTTCCGCGATAATTCCAAGAGAGAAAACAAATACTCACAATTGGACAGTAGCAGAATGGATGAGTGTTATGTTGATGTCAAAGTCTATCGTACTATAACTTCCCAATCATCTGACGTCACAATTATAAGTTATCAAGCGCAAACGGCCTCAGAATCAGTTATCTCCAAACCCTTATACATAATCATAAAGTACTCAGTAATTTACATAATGGCTGTTGTTCCTTTAGTAGATACAATAGTGTCATCAACTGAAGCCGTTGTGGGTTGATTTGAGCCTCGTCCTTATAGCCGGCAACTCTCCCAAAGTGAAAATATGTAGTGGGCACATGAATAGGCTCCTCCTCTTGGTGTGTTTGATATGGGCCTGTATGAAGTCTGATCCATAATCCTGATATTAGCTCTGTAGAAAACAGTCACAATATATTGTTCTGTTCTCCGCCATTTCAAATGGATGCGAGACCAACATATCTTTTGGCTGTTAAATTGTCTTTTCCTCTTTACATAGAAATGCCAATGTACAAATACAACAAAAAAAATGGAGTTCGAAAAATGTGGATGTAGCAGAGGTTTGTTGCGTTTTGTTCCGTTCAAGTCTCTCTAGCGTCCGTTTTTTTTTTTCCTCCTAAAGGTAGTGCCGCGAAGTTTTCCGACCGTGGAAAAGAGACCACACGCCGTCTCGTCCTCGTGTTTGCTTGTGTGTGTGTTTGTGAAAATACTGCTGCAGAGGTCCAGGTTCTCTCTTAGTCTCTGTGTGGAAGTCAAAGGGCCAAGTAACTCTTTTCTTTACTGTAATCTTGACCAATACTGAGACATGTCTGGCTCAGTTCCGGGAACTTGGACAGGGACAGATACTCCAGGGGAGATGAGTCCTAGAAATAGAGAGAGGATGTAGGTCAAAAACACGTTCCTTTTCAAACGTTAAGCTTTGGTGTTATGTGCGAATTTGTATAGATTGAGAAGGATGATGGATCATCACAACTGTGAAGTGATGAAATTAAAATTAGACATTGAAAAGGTCTTTTTTTGAAAGTGTTAATGCTAAAAACAAAACAGAAATGTTACATAAATGGGTGAGGAACAAAGAAACACATTTTTAGATACACAAAATCATGCATTTAAAAGTAAACCGAACAATCAGACAATACATACACAAATGTGACCAAACTGGTAAAAGAGTGTATGCATATACGCTACCGTTCAAAAGTTTTTGAAAGTCTCGAATGCTCACCAAGGCTGCATTTATTTGATCAAAAATACAGTAAAAACAGTAATATTGTGAAATGTTGTTACAATTTAAATATATTTTCAAATGTAATTTATTTCTGTCGTGTCAAAGCTGAGTTTTCGGCATCATTACTCCAGTCACATGATCCTTCAGAAATCATTCTAATATGCTGATTTGATGCTCAAGAATCATTTATTATTATTATCAATGTTGAAAACAGGTGTGCTGCCTAATTTTGATGTGGAGATCATGATTCCTTGACAAATGGAAAGTTCAAAAGAACATTTATTTGAAATAGAAATGTTTTGTAACAATTAATACAATTGAATGCATCTTTGCTGTGTAAAAGTATTAATTTAT